ATCAAAGGTGCACGTTACTAAACGATGCCGGAATAAAACAACGTGCATCAAAGTGATGAACACAGAACTGTAGAACCTGTGATTTCACTCATTCATGAGTTGTGTCTGTCAGATATTTGAACTCGTGGTTTATCACACACTCTGTTGTCTAACTTGCTGAACTTCTTTTTAATTTAACCTTCATGTGACCTCTTGAAAGAAATCCAACAAACACGACTCACCAGCTCGTGGAATCCTCCCGTAAACTGAGCAGCCGAGCCGACGATCCCCCGGCAGCATCAAACCTCGGCCCGTGTCTCACACACCTCTACGCCCAGATAAGGATGAAGCGAGGCCCCCCCCCCCCCCCCCCCCCCCCTAAACGGCAGGGTTGGGCAGACCCCTGGCCCCCCCCCCCCCCTAAAAACACACACACACACAACAACACACGGTGTCTGGCTGCAGGCTGGGCACTGATCCCTGACCCACCAGCTCCACTGAAAGAAATATCAACACTAATATCACACTCACTGTCATAGTGTAGTGGCAAAAAGACTCTGCATTATTAGACAAAAACAAAGATCATGAGTTGAATTTAAAGTCTGTAATCTGTGATGTTTAAAAGATGTTTAAAAGAGGAAATGTAGTTCACAGAAGAAGAAGTGTTTTTATACTTTAATTCAACGTGTAGTTAGGACTCGCTTCACAGCTGTTGAACAGGTTCAATGTAAACCTGAACTAATAACTGAAGCAACTGATCCTCTGATTATGTTGGTGCAGCAGCTCGTCTGTTCTACTGAAGCTTTGTGAGACGGCCATGTTGTGTGTGCTGCTGCTGTCAGTTTGGTTTCCTTGTTTCAGGGAAGCTGTTGTCCAATCAGCTGCTCCAATCAACCCTGTGAGTGACAGCTGACCAAAAGGCCCCGCCCACCATCTCTTACCAATCAGTAACCAGTACAGAGGCGTCCTCTCACACCCAGTCAACCTGCCAACACATTCAAAGTGTCTTTAACTATCGTAATAATGTTTCATGCATTTCATGTTTTTTCAGTTTGTATACATTTTTGTTGTGTTTTTATTTAATTAAAAGAATGCACAAACAATAAGCCATAAAGAAATATAAAGAAATAGCTAAATCATAAGGTACTATAGCTGTGGTTTGGACCTATATTCCACCTGCTAGGTATTACCAGTATGTGTGATGTCGCTGCTGTGGCGAAGCTTCTTCATTTATGTTACTCAGAGTGCAGTGTTACCTGTTCAGAGGGACACTTCTTGCAGTGGAGGTAAATGGCCGTAATAAGCCACCGGAGTGACATACGAGCCGTGGGGAAGATCAGTGAATAAGAGGAGTGAATGCGAGTCTTTAATGACGGGGATTGGTGGGCACTTTGGTCGCCTTGGCATTCACATTCGGACACATCGAGGCACACAGCGTAATTGGCAGAGGAGGAAACAGGGCTGCCGAGGGCCTGGGAACAGCTGCCCCCCGGGAGAACACACACACGTTTAGCTCATAATTATAACAAGAATGGGATTAAATGAATCAAAGGGTAAAGAAATAATTTGCACACACATTTGAACGCTTTCTGCTGGTGTTCTTCAATCAAAAAGCATAGCAAATATTTTACCAAATGAGCAAGTTAATCAAATTCATATCATCGAGAGACTCGAGGAAAAAAGGCTGCAAATCCAATCAGACATGTAATCGTCATTTTAAAGTGAGATTGTGTTGCTGCAGTAGGAACTGAAATACAGTTTGCTGCTTCTACCACAGTCAGTGAGGGAGAAGTAGTCACTCTTTTTGCACAAATTAGTTAATTTTCTCTCCATAACACCTGCCGGCTCCATGAAAACCTGTGTAAATACAGCACTGAAAGTAAACCTGACACCTATGTAGTTAGGGCTGCAGGTTTGGCTTCTTTTCTTCAAAACTGACTCCAAGATGTTTCTGTTTGAGTTGAAGTTCAACCCTCACCTGTTAAATGCTTTTCTAGGAGACCTTTTTACCGTGTTTATGACTAAAACTAACAAGAAAATCAACAAAGCCTCCTTTTAAGGCTGCAGTATTTATTACACCAAAAACAACGTTGTTGCGTTACGTCCTTGCGTTACGTCCTTGCGCTACGTTGTTGCGTTATGTCCTTGCGTTACGTTGTTGCGTTACGTCCTTGCGTTACGTCCTTGCATTACGTCCTTGCGTTACGTTCTTACTTATTGTTTGTTACGTTACGTCGTTGCGTTACGTCGTTGCGTTACGTCGTTGCGTTACGTCGTTGCGTTACGTCCTTGCGTTACGTCCTTGCGTTACGTCCTTGCGTTACGTTCTTACTTATTGTTTGTTACATTACGTTGTTGCGTTACGTTGTTGCGTTACGTTGTTGCGTTACGTTGTTGCGTTACGTTGTTGCGTTACGTCGTTGCGTTACGTCCTTGCATTACGTTCTTACTTATTGTTTGTTGCGTTACGTTGTTGCGTTACGTTGTTGCGTTACGTCGTTGCGTTACGTCCTTGCATTACGTCCTTGCGTTACGTCCTTGCGTTACGTCCTTGCGTTACATCCTTGCATTACGTCCTTGCGTTACGTCCTTGCGTTACGTCCTTGCGTTACGTCCTTGCATTACGTTCTTACTTATTGTTTGTTGCGTTACGTTGTTGCGTTACGTCGTTGCATTACGTCGTTGCATTACGTCGTTGCGTTACGTCGTTGCGTTACGTCGTTGCGTTACGTCGTTGCGTTACGTCGTTGCGTTACATTAGTACATTAATATTTGTACACAAACCATGATCTTTTTTCTCAACTTAAGTAGTTTTGCGGTCTAAACCTAACCAATCGTTTCACAACGTTAACCACATGTCATTGTGTGTTTCTGCAAGCGTGATACGAGATATGAAACATATTTATGACATTTTTTGGGGGGGTTCAGAAACTTTGACATTCATGTATCCATGTAAACAGAGATTGCCAACATGTCTTTCAGTTCATCTCATGGTCATTCAGTTCCCAATCATACAATTTTCAATTCAATACTTTATTAATAACTGGTGCAATTGAAAAGACAAAAAATAAAAAAATCAAGTAAGAATACATTTGCATATTATATCATCAACTCAAAATATTCAAAGTGGTCTAATACAGAATAGAAATGGTACGTTGTTGTTTTTTTCAAACTGGAGTGAGAAAAATGATGCAGAGCTCTGAAGGCCACTAGTGTAAGTTTGTCCAAAATTCCCTTAAATAAAACCTAAGAACATCAAAACTGTTTTTTCTGACCCAAAAAAGCTGCTGTCAATTAACTCACACAAAGCTGTTCGTAATATCCAATCTCCACGTTTGGAAAGACATTTCCTTTTCTATCTCAGAGTGTGATGGCTGCATTTACACAAGAGCAGCAGAGATGATGTTAACCATTGCTCTCTTCACATCTTCCTGTATAAACAACCCTATCATCTGTGAGGTCATAAAGGAGGTCCACAGGTCCTGCTACACTGAGCCGTCAATACACATTAAAAGAAACTGTGTGCAGATTTTGTGCTTTTTTGATGTTGTGCAGGTTTTTTGATTAGCTTGCTTTCACGGGCTAATATCATCGGCTAGTTTAAGTTGTGGTTAAACGCTGTCTTCAGTTTAAAGGTTTTTGGCACATTTTCAAGTTGCTTTCTACCGTTCAGAGCGCTGAGCTTTGATCCAGACAAAAGAAAACTTACCACTTAAATTACCTCTGACATCTATGATTGCGCATAAATACATATATTCTCAACAGCATATTGTGTAGTTAACTACATCTGTCTAGACAGGTGTTTTTATTATGGTTTATTGAATATGTTTAGTAGTTTTAACAAACACTTGCCCAACTGTCCTGACTGACGTGGGTTAAATGTGTCACCATCTTGACATATCTTGAGCTATGAAAATGGATTAATTTGTTGATTTGTTTTTTAGCAGATTATTAAAAACTTGGACCTAAAAGTTGGGTTGATGATGTAAAAAGGAGAAACTGTGAGTGCACACGCTCAACACACCGCTGTGCTAACATGATAGCTGTAGTTTCTTCTTAATGATAACAAATCAGAAAGGGTTATGATTCATAAGAAGTGCTATATATTATTATATTTATCTTAATATGGAGAGCCAACCTGAGGAACGCGCTTCACTTTTTAAGAAAGACTGAAGACAGAAACTGTGATTCACAGAGTTATGAAGGGTTGTCGTCGGGTCATTCTCTCATAGACTTCTATACAACCAGAAGAAGTCGCCCCCTGATGGACACTAGAGAGAATGCAAGTTTAAGTCACTTCCACATTAGCTTCTCTTTTCAGAACTGTTGCTTTCCGCCTGCCTACATGCCAACCTTTCTGGAAATATGCTGCGTCAGATGAGTTTGTGCAGAGCAGCGATAGGTCAAGGCCGCGTTTAGCCTAGCTTAGCACAAAGACTGGAAGCTAGGGGAAGCAGCTAGCCTAGCTCCATAAAAAGAGACCAAAACACACCTGAAAACTTCATACGTCACAAAGCTCCTGTCTGTTTGGTCAAATGTAAACATGTCAGATGGCTGTGTGTGTCCGTGTAAATGCAGCCTTCAACACGGCTATTACAAGAAGATTTGTGCTGCACTCCGACAGCCGTAGCAAGAAAAGCATGAGCAGAAATAAAATAAATACGTTAAAAAGAACTGTACTGTAAAAGGCCAAGGCACAAATAATTTGTAGCAGTTAAGATGTCTATAAAATGTGGATCAGTGCATTGCTTGGTATGCGATTACAATGAGTACAACCAGACTGAACAGAATAATCACAGCCAGCACTATCGCCCTGTTGACTGCACGGGTGCCATAAAGTGCTCCTTTCAGAATGGATTTCACATACAGACGAGTTCACTCACAGAGAGCTGAGAGAGATCACCGACGTGTACGCACACACATGGAAGTACACACGAAAGAGCACAAATGTGTTGAAAATGCTCGTTTTAAACACAAACATGCTTCATGTTGCTTCACCAGACAGGGGCGGGAAAAAGAAACATTTTCGAGCTTCTTCCTACATTCAGAAGATAATTTTCTGCCGGAAAGCTGCTGAAGGATAAAAAGTGTGAACGTCGGCTACAAGAACCGTTTAGTCTCGTGCACACAGGCATCTGACGTGAAGTGAATCTGTGTGTGTGTGTGTGTGTGTGTGTGTGTGTGTGGTCTCTCAGCACACATTTGATCAAACACTATATTAAGTGAAGCACAGATGATCTAATGGTATCTAATGATGATTGTGTCTTTATTCTTTTGTTCTGCCTCTAGCGGAGAGGTGTGATGTGAGGACGTCACTGGAGAATGGAACACGTGGTCACAAACATAAAGCGATGATACGGTATGATGTCAGCCATGTTTGTTCATAAAACACAAAACGTCATCTCTTTCACAAAACCCACGAGGACAGGAAAATAATTGAAACTGGAATCATGTTTACACTATAACAAGTAATGCTAGCACTTCATTACAAATATTGAGTGAATGGTTTGTGCACACTTAAAATTTTTTTTTTTTTTGAATTCTCATTTTCCATTTCTTCCCCCAAAAATTTTCCCGACTCAGTTTCCATTATTGGAAGAAATCTCCAACAAACAGTAAATGGGATTCTTGAAAATCAAATAAGTTAGTTATTTGAAAACATAATTCAGGTTGTTTTCACATGTTATGAGAGAAACAGTATTTTAGGAGTCGGTGATAAAACGAGTCCATGTTGTGCTGTTTTTATATGTCCACCAATGAATCAATACAGCTTTTGAATTCCTGAGAAGAAGCTTCAGGTTTACGTCAGTAATAAATTATAATCTGCTAAATATTTGTGTTTTATTGTCAGCTGTCTTTGCTAGCATCACTTGTTGTTTCCAGTGCATCTTCGAGTGTTGGAGACAATTTATTCAAAACAATTCACAAAATATTAGCTTGTTAAATGTAACAGAAACATGCCGACGCTGCTGTAGTTTCCAGTGATGTTCTTTAACTGTGTTAATTTAGAAAGGAAGCAATACGAGTTAAAGTCTGAATGGAAGCAACGTAACGTCTGTAAATGGAGCTCGATGTGCAAAGGCAACAAAAACACTCGACGACGATGAACTTCAACAAAACGGACACACCGGTTCAGCCCGACATCATGAACACAGAAAGAAGACGAGAAGTGAAACGTTACAACCTTCTTACATGTCTGTGCAGCTGAAATCATGTCGAGTCTGAATGTCAGTGAATGAGCTACAAAACAGCATTTTACAAAAGCAAGAGTGCACCGTGTGCTGCTTTAATAAAAAATATACAAATGAATACAAAATAAAGAGGACGAATCACAACAGAAGGTAAACAGAGTTCACATTCATAAATCCTGTGTGGCGTGTTTGGAGCGTGGTGAGATGAAACACTAAATACAGAATGACGAGTCGTCGTTCTCAGGGATGATTCTTGCTTCAGAGGCACAATGAATGAACGTCTACGGGGATATATCGCCATCTTGTTTCTATATGTCGTGACAATTTGTGTCCGCATTGCAAGATTATTCATTTTTAGAATATATATATATTCGAACGGGCTTCAGTAGCAGAAGTTATATCGACTGTAATACAATAAGATAAATAGATAATTAATAATGATATTAAGTGTTTGGTTCACCTTCATTTCACAGACTGTAGACCTGTGTCCACGCCAGGCTTCAGTCTGAGCTGCAGAGCGACAGTAGTGCTTGTTTTAAGCTGCTTGGAGCGCCAGGCGGGCGGAGTTTGTCAGGTAAGAGTCACGTGAGTTTGTTTTATTAAATTTAGATATTTATCAAACTTCTCTGTATTGTCTGTTGTTGTAGAAGCCATCTTCACATTTTTTTTAATAAACCAGGACACGTTATAAGCACATTGATGTTGGCTGACTTTGGTGAAATGACCTCGCTCTTAACCTCTTAACCTCTTCGTCGTATATTTGCACAACAGAAATAATATTTTGGCAATTTATTTGCATATTTTGAGATTTACACATAACACCCAAATATTAATGTGTAGTCATGGACTGTGTTGTTAAAAGTGTTGAATTCATTTAAATTATTGTATGAATAACAGATACAGAAATACTTTGAGTAAAAAACAGTAAATGACTGTAATGTCAAGCAAACTGTTCAGTATTATTATTAAAACATAAGAAGTCAATAAAAAGAAGGATATTTTGAAGTTAAAAAATGTAAGTTTGATGAAATGAACAAAAATACAAATAGAATAATTAAAAGAAGAGAAAACAAGCAGCTGGTGGATTCTTGTCTTCCTCTTTCAGATTAATATTCCAGTTCATTCAACATTAAAACGGAGGAAGAACATAAAATCATCTTTGAGAAGTAAACATTGTTTTGTCCTTTTATAGTTTTCTGGTCTAGAAACACTGATTTTCTATAAAAGTATTGTTTCGTCTGTGACTCCTTCTATTTGTCTGTATTGAGCCGAAAATCAGAAAGCTGTCTGTTGTTAACGTTTGACTCACTGTTGCAAACTTCTGCTTTAACTCAAACAAATGAATTACAAGAACTCCACCAACAGCAGACGAGCAGCGAACAGAAAAGCATCGAAGCAGTTGAAGCTGCTCCAAGCCCGGCGAGGAAGCCCCTCATCAGCGCTGCCCTGACCCTGAAGCCCCTCATCAGCGCTGCCCTGACCCTGAAGCCCCTCATCAGCGCTGCCCTGACCCTGAAGCCCCTCATCAGCGCTCCCCTGACCCTGAAGCCCCTCACCAGCGCTGCCCTGACCCTGAAGCCCCTCATCAGCGCTGCCCTGACCCTGAAGCCCCTCACCAGCGCTGCCCTGACCCTGAAGCCCCTCATCAGCGCTGCCCTGACCCTGAAGCCCCTCATCAGCGCTGCCCTGACCCTGAAGCCCCTCACCAGCACTGCCCTGACCCTGAAGCCCCTCACCAGCGCTGCCCTGACCCTGAAGCCCCTCACCAGCACTGCCCTGACCCTGAAGCCCCTCACCAGCGCTGCCCTGACCCTGAAGGTGCTTTAACATGCTATAGATATAGGTGGTTGTCAGATATTACATTCGGTATCACGGTGGCCCTAAATCTAAAGTATAAATGCTGTTTCAGGCCTATATGTGATCTCCTGTAAAGGTTTTTTTTGTTGCAGCAAGTGGTGCTCAGACTCGTCTCAAAGTCTGAACCGTCAGAAACCTCTTCAGAGTTTCTACGTGCCCCCCCCCCCCGGTGTTTGCAGGGTGTGGTGTAGTTGCTGAGTTTGTGTTCAGAACTGGACGATGGAATAACTCGCAGCGCGATGCAGTACTTTGTGTTTGTTGATAATACATTTAGCATGTTATGAAGTTCCATATATAAAGATGTGTTTTTAGATTTTAGAGAAAGTAAATTCACTTTAGTGAAAAGCTTTTCTGCCAAAATTGTACATTTCTAACAGATTTCTGGGCGTCTGTCGCTGATGTTGAGCGTGACAAACACTCAAGGACACATTTATTGCAGACGTCTCATGTTTGTGGGTAAATGTTCTTTTAACTGCATCAGGACTAAAACTAGCTGGAGGGATTCCTTCTTCAAATCAGAGGATTATACACCGTAAATGAGCAAAACATAAATACTCAACGTCTTTTTCATCGCAGTTTTCTGAATTTCCTGCACAGAAATAAAAAGTCCAGAATTTGTATTTTGGCAGATTTGAAACAGGTTGTGGATTAAAAACACAGATGAACTCGACTGTCATTAAATATCTCTGGAGGTAATAATCATCCAGTGCAGACAGAGCTTTAAACATTATAGTTTGAGTGTTGGACACGCCTCAGGTCAGGAGGAGTACGCAGACATGTGGTTGAGATTTAATAGAGAGAAAAAAACAGATCTGTGCAGAATTTAGAAAATAGTTTTTAAGAAAATATCAGATTTGTTTAAAAAACAACTAGAAGACGTTGAGAGTACATTTGACTGTTTCAGCTAATATACAGAGTGTATTGTATCTTTGCAGAATAAATCTTTGATCTTTGATCTCTAGATCTTGTTTATTTCTGCTCCTTTGTCCTCGTATTTAAAAACCTCGTAACAATAACTTCTGATGACTCCAAGGCTTTGGTTTCATCATGCATTCTCTTTGCAGTATTCATGTTTCATCAATTCTAGTTGTTCTGAGTTGTTCTTGTTTTAATCAAATATTCAAATGCAGGTTTTTTGTTGTGGGCGTATTTTTCTATTGAGGTGCGAGTTTAACACATGGAGCACTGTGACACGATATGTGAGATCATTTCATTTTAAACGTTTTCTTCTATGTCTAGTTCCTGATCGTGTGAGGAACTCCAGCCACTACTTGGCTCCGATAGTATAAATCCTTTGATCGTCAGGTAGAATCCTTCAGGAGTGATGAAGACGCTAAACTAAAGACGTACAGGTTCATATCCCTGAATTCATGTGCCAACAAAAGCAGCAGAGATTTAGTGTTTCAAATTCTGTCCAATTCTCTGTTTTTTCCCACCAGAAGGTTTGTGTGCAGACAGTTGGTGACATACAACTCAAGAGCACAGTGTGTGAAGCAAAGAGACGGGATCAGAGATCCTCAGTCAGGGTTTACAGCTGACGAGAGAAAAGCAAACAACGGCACCCAACCACTGTCTTTGTCCCACATGTCCTTCTTCTCTCTCTCTCACACACACACACACACACGCACACACGCACACACACACACACACACACACACACCCATCAAACACACAAAACACAGAGACAGGAGACTTTTGGTTCCATTGTCGTCCGTCCTACCGTCACCCCTAGAATGCTGCATTATCATGCAAACCATGCAAAAAACCATGAAAATGTATTCATATAAAAAAATAAGTGTTACAAAATGGCATAGCAAGTATAAGTATCCATTCAATCACTTCCTCCGTTTCCTGATATCCTGAACTTTGCAGTGTCTACACTAAACATCGCATGCGTTACATGCAGTGCGGTTGGCTTTGCAGCGATAAAGCTTTTGGGTGTATAGAGTATGTATATTGATGTTCGAGTGCGCTGTACAGAGTCTCACTTTACAAACTGTCTGTTTATTGGATTTATGTTTCTGGGCAGTCTTGATGCCATGGCTCTCTGTCTGGACGGCGGTCGGTGGAGGAGATCAGCCTCTGAAGGTCGACGACCTCGCAGCATCAAGGCGGATTCGACCCCCCCCCGCATGGTTGGGTCCAGAGGTGTGGCTTTTGACCCAAGCTGATTTGGGTTTAGAGGCATGGGTTGGATTCAGGGTCTTAACTTAAGTGTTGCGGATTTCGGTGCGGTAACGCAAACACCTCTCAGGGTGGCGTGTTCCACACAGCGTCACCGAACCCCTCCCCGGTGGAGGAGAGAGGCAGGGGCCCCCCACTGGGCGTGAAGGGGTCCGTGTCCGTGTCCGTCTCCCCCTCCGCTAGGTAGCTCGGTCTGGGTCTCGGCCAGCTAGCGTCTCCGGTTGCCAACGCGGCCCCCGTCGACAAGTCCCCCACTTCCTCCCGCTCCCCAGAGATGCTGAACCCGCTCAGCGAGCGCTCCAGCTCCTCGTGGTTCACCGACAGCATGGAGAGCGGCGAGTCGGCCCCCCGCCCCCCTGTGGTCCTGCCCGACCCCGCCGACGAGTCCTGCAGGGAGCTGATGGGCAACACTGTGGGACGCTCGGCGTAGGTGGGGATGGCAGCGGGAGGCTGGTGTTGGTGGAGGTGTGACGGCGGAGGTTGATGGTGCGGAGGAACGTGGCTTCCAGCCAACCCGGTCCCCTCTCCGGCCCCCCGTCCTCTGCCACAGTACGGATTCACCTTGCTGACAGGCGTCTGGTACGACATGTGTGGAAACGCCTCGGCGTAGTTGAAGAAAACCCGCCGGATCTCACCGTTTCCCGTCGGGTTGCAGGTCTCCAGGGTCATGTGGGCGGCGCCGGCAGAGTCCACCTGCAGGTGCTCAGTGTGCTGGATGTGCATGTCCACCAGGAAGTCCAACTTCTTCTCCATATCCTCCACCTGAGACGGAGACACATTACACCAGATGATTGACAGTTTTTAAGAAAACCGGTTCCTACAGGTGTCCACATGTTGCGGTTTCTTTGCGCCCTCAAATCCATTGTTGTCAATGTAGACGAGCGGAAGGAGAGAAGTTCCCAAGTGACGAGGAACAACCAATCACAGCTGGCAGATATCTTTTCTTTCAGACTACGGTGAATTAATTGAGGAGAAGTTAATCATTTAAGTTGAGGACTAGCTGGAAATGGAACTCATGACGTCACGTCTCCTCCACTTAGCTACAGGAGGACTCGTGTTCTGGTGAGGACGTTTGCTCGTCTCATTTACACTCTTTCTTAAGACACGTAAAAGCTTCTAAATTCACTCATTCATAAAAGTATTTACTGACCTATTTTATATCGTAGAACAAAACGTTCTCCTCAGCTTGACCTTCTTTCAGACATCTAACCAAGAACACATTCACAGAACACTTTGACTTTGAGACCAGGGAACAGAAAGTGCAGAACTGCTGACTCATCGCTGTGTTTCAGACTCATTCCTGCAGCACTCTGTAGGTCAGCACTGTCAAATTTGCAATTGGTCGAAATTTGTGTGTTAAAGTTTAAATCTACAAGAAAGTACTTTGTGATCAAACCAACCGGTCGTGGTTCTGTTGAAGAGAATACTTTTATTTGTTTGAAATGCTGCTGATATAAACACTGGTGTGACCGAGTTCTACTGCCGCAACATGTGGTACCCAAGACCTGCATCTGAATCTGACTAAGCTGATATTCCTACAGTTCTTTGTTGGTTCAGTGTTAGAAACTCTAGTATGTATCTCACGACGTGCGTCGCGGTTCACATTCCTCACCTGTCGCTCCACCCGGACAAATCTTCCCATCATGCTTAGGTCTTCAACGTCTGGAATGGAGGCGGCTTTGGCGAGGTAGGACTCCTGTCTGGAACACAGGGACACTGAGTAGACGTGGACTGCACAGACATTTGTTCAGACAAAGTCACCCGCACAAAGCCACTGCCTTAGAAATACAGTGTCACTTCTGGTTGGAACTCTTTACAGACACAAAGTCTAATGTACGACACGATAAGAGAAACACGACCGAGATGCAACCAAGAACAATTTATTGTTATATGCGACATTGCAATGAAAACATATACTAGGCTTTATACAGTACATAAAGTACAGTAAAGTAAATATAAACGTAGAGTTAGTCACTTTCTTCATGAGTCTAATATTACAATATATTCTTATAAAATGGTGTTGTCTACTAATGCTTGAGTGACTGTACCTGGGCGACTGATTGGACGGGTAGGTAAAGGGCGTTTTCGGAGTTTTCTTTTGTTTGGGGGTGAGGGGGGGTCCAGGGGCCAGAATCATGTCGATCCTTAAAGGAAGAGAAACAGGATGAGCTCGAGGAAGAGGAGATATCTGCTTCACTCAAACAGAGCAGCTGCTGACCTTGTCTGGAGGTATTTGATTCTACAGAGCATGTCCAGGTGTCCAGCAGAGTACTGCTCGATCACGTCTTTGACATCGTAAGGCCTCAGAGTTTCCTTAAACCGCTTCTTGTTCAAGAGGAATTGCATGATCCTGTGAGACAAAGAGTTTCAAATCAACAGTTTGGATATAGAAATGTTTATCAAACTTGGAAAGCAATGGCACTCTCTCTGTGATACTACATATTCAAACAAACTGTGAGACCTGGGTCACCGCCCCTCCACGTTCCCTGTTCTGAGTGCTCAGAAAACCTTTAAACTTAACTAGGACCCATTCTAATCAGGGGCCAAACCAACTCCACTGGTTCCTGTCCATGGGAGGATTACTGAACGGGCCTAGACCGGGTTCAGGTCCAGGGGCCCACAGTGTCCGGTGGCTCCTGGCCTTCCCTTGCAAAATGTAATTTGAAGAGACACGTACCGACCAGGAAGAGACTCAAAATGACAACAAAGAGACACAAAACAACTACAAAGAGATGCAAAACAGCTGCAACGAGAGACGGAGACTTGCTACGACTATGAAAATAAATAATCACAAAGATACATAAAATGACTACAAAGAGATGCAAAAAACCCACAAAATTAGCAAAACAACAACAGACTAAAAATAATGACAAAATGACCAAAACAACTACAAAGAGAAAACAAAAAGAGGCGTTATGACTCTAAAGTCTTTGTGTCTGGCTCCTGTGTAGGAGAGGTGGTGGGGTATTTTGCATGTCTTTGCCCAGGGGCCCATTGTCTCACAATCCACCTACGTTCATTGCTAAACGAAGGGGCAGCTGCTCATAAAGACTTTGATTTTGATCACTCTGGTCCTTCTGGATGTCTAAGCTTCTCACCCGGTCTCTGGGTGAACCCAACCACCCTTCGATCTACGATCTCATTCTTTCGGTGATGACCCAAAGCTCTTGAGGGTTGAAACGAGAGCATTGCCTTCCTCCTCAGCTCCACCACAACAGGCCGGTACAAAGCCAGTAATTGCTGCTGATGAAGCACAGACGATCTCGTGCTCTCTTACAATGAACAAGACACACAAACTCATTCACTTGGGGCAACCTGGTCTCAGATCTGGAGCAGCTGACCGCCACCTCACGCTGAGCTGCCAAACCGTTTCAATGGGCGGCAAAATCTATCTTTGTTAAACCAGCAAGATCGCCCCTCTATCTGACATTTGTCAACCAGAGTCTATTTCACACTTTACATACTTGTACCTGGGATCAAGGCCCAGGAACACAATGCTTGTTGAATGTACGTTGGATCAAACCCAACATCTTTCAGTTCGTTGAAGTCATCTCCCACCTTGAGCCCACCCTGCCACCCATTGAGCTCCCTCTTTTGTCCCACTTTGAGCTGACTTGAACACGACTCTTCCCAGAGTCGGCGGCGGCTGCAGGGGCTTCAGTGTTTGGCAGTCTTGGGTCGTGAAACTGAAACCCCGCCAGCTCTGAGCATCCCATTCAGACCCATTCAGCCCCAAAATAATAGTGTAGAAGGAAGCAGCACTTTCACAGGGTTAATCACTCATCTCACAGGCCCTCACACCAGATTGAATTCCTGCATTATGTCAACGGTGTGGCCTATAGATTTACCAGCACACAGTAAGCAAGAGTGAGAAGAGTGAGAAAATAATATCACTTTACATTTTTCAAACGATCAAGGATTCATGGACAGAGAAAAAGCTCTAAATGCTGTTTCACTGGGACTTTACTGGAGGACAGACCGTCATGCAATGCACATTTAAAGCTCCTGACCTCACTGCCCTGATGACCAGTTTCAGTGTGGGGATCATCTCCTCCATGAGGATGTCTGGGGGGAAGCCCCGCTCCTCTGAGGCTGTTTCTGCCAGGGCTCCGCCATCTGACGAAGAGAAAACACACAGACGCATATCCATAGACAGTTAATATGATGATGACCTAAACGACCTAACTCTATTCAACCGAACTCCAACTTTCTACCAACGCTGGTCGTGCCATTTATTTGATACCTTCGGAGCTCTGGCGGAGTGTGGCCTTCATGCGGAAGGCGGTGCGGAAACGTTCGCGGTTACTGAAGCCGGCAGGTTTCGGCTCCTTGGAGGGACTTTCCTCAATGGAGTCGGTGTGACCCGTGAGCCTCTTGCCCGTCCCAACAGATGTCCGCGCGTTGGGAAGGCGAACACGCTCGAGTAAACTCAGTTTTTGGCTGAAATGGGACAAAAAAGGGGAGAAGAGATACAGTCTGGTAAAATAATTTCGTTTCACGTGTGTCTTGTTGAGAATGATTGTTATTAGTCCATACGAGTCCAGGCTTCAAAGCATCTCTACAGAGGAGAAATTACAGACAGTTCATCCATGTTTGCTTGTTTGTTTCAACCCACTTTAGGTGATACAAGTAGAATCATTCTGTTAGCTGCTGTCATGTTTCTCACAGCTGAAGATCTTTGAGATGATGTCAGAAGTGTGACAGATGCAGGTTAAACCACGTTTACACTCTTGGAAATAAAGATGCTAACTAGAAGCATATCGGGTTCTTTGGCCTTTTGTAAAGTTTCCACCTGGAACACATTCAGAGTGTTCTACCGAGTACCCAACATAAAGGGTTATAAAGAACCTTCTGTGAAGGTTTCTCCCCAGAATGTCCTTTGAGAGGTTTTATCTGAAACCTTTCCACCTTCTACGGTTCTTAAAATAAGTACCCGGCCAGGGGGTTCTACCCAGAACATTATTTTATTCCAAGGGTTTCATCTACAACCATCCAACAAGTTATTTAGGCTTCTAAGGTTTTGAGCAGCTTTTTAGGGACTATCTTCACATGTAGTTATGACATTAGTTATGAGATCCAAAGTAAATGTACCAGATCTCAGCCTGTTGGACATGCACACTGGGTTGTGGGTCTTCCTACACTTTCTAGGGGCATATTTGTGTTCTCGCATTCTGAAGAAGAACCAAATAACACCAGCATCTTCTAAAGGAATATGCCTCTTCTAGTCTTTCTAGCCTCTCTAGTCTTTCCTTGAATCTTAATTTCCTCTCACAGAGGAGTTAAAGTCGTCATGGTCTACTGCCTCAACGTAACAATGATGTTCTCCTGGCATGAGGAAGCCTCAGAGTGCTGCGAGGTACCGGTCTCCTTTATCGTCCAATAGCTGACAATATTTGGCAGCACAAAGACCAGAGCTCCCTGGGTAAAATAAGACTCCTGTGTGCCTTGGAAGAGGCAGAGAGGCGGGGTAACCGGAGCTGACAACAGCCTGAACGGGGCCTCTGAAACGTGAAGCATTCTCAGCGACTTTGCTCCCACAGCAGACACACAATATGAGCCTCTTTGTGGCCTCGGGGCAGAATAGGGACAGCAGATTACGGTGCTGAGAGGCTGCAGAATAGGAAGGTTTAAAGGAAGAGAGAATCTCTTTCTGACTGCTTCTCCACCAAATAAAGAGAAAGAAAATGACATGTGATTATCCCGCAGCTCACAACAGGGAAGAATAATGCTCCTTCTCTCCCACAGCTCCGCCGTCCCAAGACCCACACCTACATGTTGGTTCACTTTACCTCAACGAACCTGCTGTGACAATATTAAGAGATAAATCCACTTTAGTCCACTTTCGTCGTTTTTTTCCCAATCGTTTCAAACTGTTATGATAGAATTGTTTTCACCAAGTTAGATGCTGAGTTGTGTCAACATCTGGGGACCATGAGACCATCAGACACGTTAGAGACAAACCATCAGGTTCTACAGATGATTCTGAACAACTGGGCCGGGAGCACCAGAGCGCCATCTGGTGGGCCTCCGTTGCACTGCCAAGTGGTTTGATTCACTTAAAATATATACAGGATATTTGGAGGGGGGTAATTAACAAAGCTAGTTATTTTATGTGTTTGGCTAACAGCTAACAGCTAACAGAACTACCAGCACATACATTACTGAGTACCTCTCGGCCGATCTGCGGCTCACTTTTATTGTTTTGGATGGCGTGTTTAACAGCTAACAGAGCTACTAGTACACACTGCTGAGTACCTCACCGTCACTCAGCTTGAGTGTATTATACGACGACTGAGCCCATTGCTTGTATAACGTTACATAACTGCTTATTTTGAGTTTGAATGAAGCAGTGGTGCAGCAGTGGTCACACAACTAGTGCAGATCTGCCCTCTACTGAGTGCACTTTTCTAGTTCTGGTAACTTCTGCACTGTAAAGATGTAAAGGTCCTAAGCCAACTCTGAGAGGAAAGGAGGGCCGACTGAACTAACTTTGGTAACACACGTCCTCACTCCAAAGGGCTGAAACGTCAACATTCACTCTCAGATGGGATATAACTTTCTCTCAGTGCTGTGTTGAGTAGACCACACAAAAGCACTGGATAACTCAGATAAAAGCTCTCTTATCGTTCAGTGCAGTGAAACACACACACACACACACACACACACACACACACACACACAGTAAGTGGCTCATCGCCCTCTTGTTGGAGCTGGCAGCTCTGTTGTAGTTTCTGGCCGTCGTCCACCTCTTCGCTCAGAGCAACAAGATAATGTCAGACTGCTAATTTCCCAGCCGCTGATCCTACGAGGGAGTTACAACTCTGTTCCGTCTCTGTCTTTACTTTCTGTTTCTCCCTCTCTCCATACTTTACTGTATCTACACCGTTGTCCCTTCCTTTTTGCTTCCTTTTTGTTTCCCTCACTTTCTTTCCCAACTTCTACCTCTTCTACCTCTTCATCTCTTCGTCTTTTCTGTCTTTTCTGTCTAGATACCATTGAACTGCTTAACAGTTCAATGGTATCTATATGTTGTTAATATATTGTCTAGCAGCTGTGGTAATTCAGAAATGTATGCACCATGCCTCAAGATTAACTGTCAATGTTTTCCTCACAATCCACATCACATTTCCCACCATTGCACAAGAACTATGACAAATGAAACCAAAACAATGTGCTTGGACTGAGACCACAAGCTTTTTCCTCGTTGAACTGACCCTTTAAGTTCAGCCTCCACAACAAACACTAGTGCCTCCCCCCCCCCCCCCCCATCAGCCGGTGTATCAGGGCTCCTGTTGTTGCTGCTCTGAAGCTTTCAGCAGCAGTAACTTAATCCAGCATGTTGAACACGGCGGCTCAGTGGAGGCAGCGAGGCGTCGGAGCAGAACGGAGAGAGACACTGTATGCAAACGGCTTCATGTTGATCAGCTGATCAGCCTGCACCTGGACGGGGACGTTTGTCCTCTTTCCATTTCAGGTTATGGAACACTGACTATGATCTTGATTTACAATGTACGTACATCTGAAAAGGTCTTTTATATTTTCATGTTTCCATGATAACGCTGGTATCATCTCAGCTTTTCACAAAAGATAGTAGTAGTAGTAGTACACAGCAGCAGAAAGAGTGTTTTGTTTTAACTCTCAGGTCACAGCTTTGATCCCCACAACCCCAAATAACAACGTGTGTCCTGATGGAAGAACGTCTGCTAACGCTGTGAAATATGGAGGCAGATGTGCAGACACGTCGTTACACCGAGGTCAGCAGAAAGGACTGCGGATTGATTCCTGCGATAGACTCAAGACAGCATGTCAGCGGCTCATGAAGATGAGGGACATTTATTTCACAAATCAAACCTCAGTGAGATTTCACTGGACAGGTTGTGACGGCAGAGACTCATTAATGTCGCTCCACATGATGAAGGAAAAGGACATCATCAAACCTAAAGACCTCGTCTCAGGCACTGATTACTCGATCTAAACCGTCGTTCATGAATGAAACATAACTAACGTCTCACTAATAGCTTCCTAAAAGCATCTCTCTGCCTAAATGTCATCAGAGCAGCTGATGTGGACGGCAGGGCTGTTACAGAGCGGGTCGAGTGGGAGATAAATGTCACCGTTCACATATTTAACAGATTAGATCGGAGAATTATTTGACTTGTGAATTATTACAGGAAGCTATTTAAAAGTGGACGGGGTTATTCTGGGACGCCTTCATTAGTCTTTCCAGCGTGTACTGTACGGGGCTAATTAAAGACCCTCTGTGTGATTTACAGTATAGAAGAAACAACAGTCACCCACCTCGCTATGGCCTCCAGGTGATCCTTCCTGTGGATAGAGAGAGAAAGACACGTTTACAAGTTAACAGCTGAGAACACAGAAGAGCTGAAATATCTTCCTCTACAACTTTAAACACGCTTCAAATGACTTTTATCTCTTTGAGGTAAAAAGTTACATGAATTCTTTTGTACTTTTGTCCTGAATTATAAATATTAATATGACATATATTGCTTATTTATGTATATTTAACCACTTGGTGTGTAGAACAAGGCCTTAAAGATGCTAAAGCGGCAATGAACAAGGAGCCAATCATTGCTCAACAGCTAAACACGTAGAGTCAGACCGGCTCTGAGTATTTGCTGGGAACGTTCCCTCCATACGAGGCTGCTGAAGAGACATATATTACTGATATCACCCTTTCAGTAAGACATTAAATATCTCTCCAACTGTACGATTTGGTTCACATAGTGCGGCCTTATATTAACTTGAAATGTGGCGTTACTTACCTGAAACAGGGGAGAGAGATGATGGTTTCATAAAATCTCCACGTGGCGATGAGGTCGTCCCTGATTGGATTGGTGGAATAATATCGCCAGGCAGACTTGAGTGAAACAGGAAATAATGTCACAGTTAAACAGTTGTGACCTTTTTTGATCTTGACTGTGATTCAGTGAGATGCACAAACAGCTGATGTCAGGTCTCACCTGGATGAGCCCAGCGGCTGGATGTCTGCGCTTCTCAAAGTGCTTCTGTCTGTGCTGCTCCTGGACCTTCAGAGCCAAGCCTGAACCCAGGATCCCCTGCAGCCACAAAACACAGTCAGCAACACGGCTGCCTCTGGATCTGTCTACTGTGCATGAATACTAGCAGGCATGGATGGACTACTGAGCGGGCCGAACGGGCACTCAGTCAAAGAGACTCGTACTCAAAATGAACACAAAGAAATATAAAATGACGACAAAGAGATGCAAAAAGAGCGACAAAGAGACAATGCAAAGACACTCAAAACGGCTATGAAAAGATGCAAAAACATGACAAAAAGACTCAAATGACTTCAAAGAGACCAAAATAACTACAAAGAGACACAAAAAGACTAAATGCAAAACAACCACAAAGAGACA